TGGGCTGTGAAAAGATTGACTCCTTTCATTAATTATGCTCTGAGTGTCTTGATAAGGGAATGTCTCCTCACTGAAAGGAGGGAGACTTTCTCAGAAAGAGTTGCTGTGATTACTGATCACAGGTATCAGTCTTGTCCTCCCATCCCACTCAAATAAAGCATCAATAGTTAGTCTGTTAAAATCTACTCTCACAATTCTCTATGAGAAGAACTCCCCAATGTGAAATAATAAGGTCATTACCAGGAGACCACCTCTATATGCCCTTCTCCATTTTTAGGGAAGATTGCCCACAATCATAGACAGGTATTTTATCCTGCCTGTAAAATGACACCTTGTAATAGTCTCTTATATGATGTAATTATACCTTAGTTCAAATTCCATAAAATGATGAAATTCAAACTACTGCTGGGAAACACCTTTCTCTGACATTATAACTGAAATGCTTTATAATAATACTAAGCTATAGATCACAGTCCAGTTAAAAAAGAAGTAGTGAAATGGAAGCAAGTAAAGAAAGTTTCTGGAATGGTGCTACTGGAGATATCAGTTGCCTTAAAGCTCTAGAGCAGGTCTGTGGAGACTCCTGCTGCCTTTGCAGGAGGGTCTAGCCCTGATGTTGCTGTAGCTGTGCTTATGATCTGCTCCAGAACTGGAGATATTTGTCTTTTATGTACATATCTATAATGAACCAATACATGATATTAAATGAGTCATTTACCCAGGGATCTCAACAGCTGTGTCCTGAGGAGAAAGTAAACTCAGATTTTCTTGAGGTAGGCTCTCTATCAACTTTATAACTAGGCAGCTATTCCAGCTGATGGAAGATAGAGAGATCGTCTGGTAATTACTCCTCCTGCTGGAGCTGAAGCCAGGCTGAGCACGTGTTTTACAGCTCTTCCCCTCTGCAACTGAAAGAAAACTCTCTCAGTCTAGTCCAAAGGCAAGAGAGCACTTGTTTTCTGCTGTGTAATTCATATGTCAGGGTGTTTCAGTATTTATAGAATAAGAATAAAACAGTGCTCAAGTTGAAAATATCCACCAAAAAAGCAGAAATCACAATTTAATCTCACTGATGGTATAAGATCCTCTGGAATTATAGTAACACTAATCTGTGCTCAGTAAAACCCAAAGGTGCCTTTAGCTGACTAGTAAACAATTGATAACCTTGCTTAGAGAGCAAATTAGTTACACAAATGAAACTGATATGCTTGAAATGCAAAATCATAGTGTAAAATAGTATTTTAAATAGCATCATGATTCTAAATAGGGAGTTAGGATTGGTGATACTCTCTTGTGAAATGCAAGTAGTCATGGAGTGCCCTAGTACTCTGCTAAACAAGAGAGCTTAGTAGTCAAATTCTGGATGAAAAGGAGAGAGGGATTCATCACTCTCTGGCAAGAAGTCCTAGCTCATAAGAAAGCTGCATAATTAATGCTAGATATTTTAGAGCCATGATTTGCAATTTCTATGTAATCTTTGGAAAAGGGAAAATGTACCCTGGCAATATTCCTGAGGAAGCAGGGAGGGCACCCACTGAGACTTATTTATATTAAATCAGAAATTAGAGCCAGGGATCTGAAAGATCCCTGATATACTGAAAGGTTATGGCTTGTCCTTCATTGGAAATTATGTGAGCTTATTTGAGAATAAGCAGAAACACATAGAATCTGCTAAGGAATTGAAGGTTAACTTACAACCCTAAATGTAGCAATTGCTGAGAACAAAATGAAACACTTTGATTTTGCTTATTTTTGAGTTTAAAAAAATGTTTCCCAACCATATATTTTACAGTTGAGAGTGACATTCATGCCAGTTCTCCAAAGATGCATTATCTGAAGAGGAGCTCCAGATGTGGCTGTTGCTCTAATCACAGTTAACTGACAGCTTATAAAAGCCATCATCTTAAGGAAACACCTACATGTTACAAAGCTTGGGATCAAGAAGAGAGCCCCAGGAAGTAGCTCAAGGCTTCTCACTCTACTAGAAATAAAATCAGCAGAGGAAGTGAAAGAAATATAATTAGAGAACTGAGTCTTGAACCAGACAAACCCTTTTGTCCTGTATGCAAAGTCTACTGGGAAAGTGTAAAGTTGTTTACACTAAAAATTCAGCACCATCTAAGATATAAAATAAAACTGGAATCTGTAGTTCAGGTTTTCACAGGCACTTAATGGACTTAGACCTTTATGTCTTACATTTCAACAAATAAAATGAGTACTGCCAACTCTTGTGCTTTGATTATTAGTCTCTCACTATTTGGTGTCTCCTGGGAGACAAGAAAACATGTGAGAAGATAAACTTTCATCTAAATTTATGGTTACATATGTATGTACTTATGTACATATGTGACCCTCTTGGCTGTGAAGAAAACCTTGAAAAGGGAAATCTGAATCCATAACTAGGTAGACAGAGAACATTTGGTGAAAGAACTGTCAGTACTGAGTCATTTTTCACATTGTTTTTATTGTGTGCCTTCCTTGTTGTCTTAGTAAACAAAATTAATCTGCTCTGAGCTCTGCCCTGCCAATGTTTAGACGTTAGTGGTAGCCACATTTCCTACTTCTAACAATAACTTGAATATCTTTACTTCTGGTATGGTTTCTTCTGTGACTTCAATGTGGGCACTAATTGTTCCTCACTGACAGTTGTCTCTCTAGTGGTTACAATTTGATACTATTTTGCCTCCCAGAAACGGAGGGAGCTCTCAGAAGCTTTAATGCAGGGTTCATCTTCCAGTAAAATCACTGAGTGCTCAAGTACTTTCATGTACAGGAAAAATTTTTTTTCTCTTTCTGACTTTTTTTTCAGATAAACAAACACCTCAGTGAGAACTACTGTCTCTCTCTGGAATTGTTTTTTTCATGACTCAAACCTTCTCTACTTTCTGCAAATGAAAATTTATAGTCAGAAGTTTTCCTTACCAAATCCCCCAAAAACAAATAAAATCAAATAAAATCAAACAAAACACCCCAAGACTTTTAATGATAGGACCCAGGTAAAAGAATTCAGATGTGTCTCAGCTTTCAATGAGCTTGATGTAATAGCTTGAAGTATGGACAGTCTGGTTTATTTTCAGTGAAGATTCTTTTAATCTCTAAAAATATTCTGTGCATTGTGTGACCCCCATTGAGTATAAACTCAAAGGAGTTAAATGCATTGCTCTGATGTAACAAATCTGGCTAAGTATCATAAACACAGTTATAACTAACAGCTGACCTGACTGTCAAGATCAACACTAGTCTGACCAGCAAAACCTCAGAATATCTACTTACTGACAGGGCCCACCGATGTCTAAATAAATGTGATGCTGTGACCTGACTGAGATGATGCTAAAGCATCTTAAAGTCAAATATCCTGGTAACTCCTCCCAGGAAGTGACTAAAAGGGAAAAAGTTCTAAGTAAGCAGGAACAAGAGAACTCTTCCCTAGATGTTTTTTTTTTTAATGCAATGCTACTTGGATCACGGATAGATTAAAATGAGTCCTTCAAAACCACTCTACTGCTTTCCATCTAAGAATGAAAGTTGACGTCATGAAAGGTGCTTACTTGCACGTGAATATTCAGCTCAAAGTCAGCATCAGCAGTGCTGGCTGCTGGTCAACTGCTCTACTGCCTTGCAGGAGAATGGTTCTGGCCAGGGGCCTTATCCCAAACTTTGTGCAAAAGGCAACATGAAACAGTTTGTAGGGACTATTGATTCTGTTACTGGTAGTGAGTTGAGTGATTTACTATTAAATGCCAGGAAAACTTGATTGAGAAGCTTACTCATCTGAAAATGAGTCAGGGAAATTCCTATGGTGCGTACTGAGAGTGTAAACTGGGGATTCCTACTGGAAAGAGCTCTCATAGCATGTATTTTGATATTACATTTATTGCCATTGCCGACCGTGGGATGAGAGTAAGAGGAACATTAAGGTTGCTTAATTAGATTTAATGAATACATGACTAATGTCACGCAACCGTGTTCTCATTAATTCCTTGGTTAAAACTGTTTCTTTAGCTGGAAATTACCAAGGATGAGTCACAATCAGCCCAGCAGAAATAAAATAAGGAGCAAATACCCATCGCTGCGACGCCCTTTTGCTTACAGGAGTAGGGGTAGTGAGATGCTTCTGTGTAGCCGCTGTCCACGGACACCAACCCTCTCTGCCGGGGGGTGCCCGCGTATTGCCTAAACTTTGAAGTTTTCTGGATGCGAAGAGCATAGAGCAGAGAGCATGTGAAGGAGAAGGGTCTGACCGGCGATGTCGTGTGTGTCGTGTGCTCCCGTCACCAGCTTCCTCCGCTGGTGGGGCCGCACCTGCCCGGGGAGGGGCGGGGAAGGGCTGCGGCCGCTCCCGTTACGCGGCGAGGGCCGGTCTTAGGGCCGGAGGGAGCACATCGCCCTCCCCGGGAGGGAAGGGCAGAGACCCCGCGGGGCAGCTCCTCCTCCGCGGGCGCTACCCCTGGCAGGGGCGGCGGCGAGGGGCTGCCAGAGACCCCCCGCGGTTACGTAACGAGCGCCTCCAGGGGCAGCTCCGGGGGCAGCTCCGCCGGTGCCCGCCAGTCCCGCCCCCGCCCGGCCGGAGGGCGGCGGACAGAGCGGAGCGCCCTCGGCAGCGCTCTCGCCGCGCCCGCGGGCGCGGACCGGGCAGCGGCTCTGCCGCCACAGCGGGCACGCGCAGGGCGCATGCGCCTCCCGGGCCCGCCGGCGCGCCGGGCATGCGCGGGGGTGGCGGCCGGGCAGCGTCTGGGGGCGGGCGGGCGCGGGCGCTGGTGGAGCCCGCGGGGCACCGGCCCCGAGCCCCGCGGGGGCTCCGCCGGCGGCCGAGCGGCTGCCGGGGCCGCCGGGGCGGCAGCGCCCGAGCCGGGCTGTGCCCCAGTTTGTGTCCAATCAGAGAGTGCAGCGCCTGACACCGGGCGGGCGGCAACGCGTAAACAAGCCCCGGGAACTCCTCCGCCCCCCGCGCTCCCCTCCGCGCCGCTCCCCGCGCCGCCCCGCAGCCGCCCCCGCCCGCCGACAAGTCCGGCGAGGCGCGTTCCCGCCGCTCCGCCGCCCTCCCCTCCCCCGCCCGCCCGCCCAGCCGGCGCCGCCCGCGCTGCCACACGCACCCACTCCCGCACACGCCCGCGGGTGCCCGCGGCCTCTGCAGGGGAAGGTAAGGGGCCGCCGGGGGCCGCCGGGCGGGCGGCGGCGAGGTGCGGGTGCGTGCGGGGGGATCATGTGTCATAACAAGTTGTTGAACGTGACATTGCTCTTGAACCGCGGCGGCGGCGGGCGCGGGGCCGCCGCCGAGTAACTTTCTCCCGCGATTCGGCGCTGAGCAGGGAGCCGGCCGGGCAGGGCTGAGCCGGCGGGGCCGGGACCGCGCTCGGGAGGGGCCGGTGCCGTTCGTGGTGCTCGTGGCTGCCCGGGGGGGACGGCGGGGTGACGGGCGAGGGCTCTGCTGCGGGAGCCGCTGCCGCCCCGGCGAGGATTTTTCTAGCAAGGCGGCTGGGTGGGCAGTGAGCGAAGAGCGGGTGCCGGTCCGGAGCATCTCCTCCCGCGGGTGATTATCCCCGCGGATGCTCCGTGGCGGTTTTGGCTCGCTTCCGGCGTGATTAGCTCGGCTTATTATGTAAGATGTCACCGAAGGAGGAGAGGCACAAGCCCTCGGTGTGGCGGAGCGGGGGACGCGCCGGTCCCGCCGCGCCTTCCCCGCTCCAGGTACCGGAGCAGAAGGAGCAGCCCCGGCCCGGAGCGGGCGGGAGGGAGGGATGGGGAGCTCCCCTCCCTTCGCAGCCCGCCGCTGGAATACGGCTGCTCGTTTTACACGTGGGTTGGGTGTGTTCCCCAAACCTTGCCTTTGAGTAGGAACGTAACCTGCTCTGGTTCCTCTCCCATGTTTGACTGCTTCTTTTCTCTTCCAAAATGAAAAATAAACATTCGAGCATAAAAAAAAGTTAAAGAACTTGATTTTTTGCTTTCTTTATGTGCGTGTTTAGTATGTTAACATGATCTGGAGACGATTGAATGAATCATCAGTTCCATGGAATAAAAGCAAGTGAATCATCTCACATGCACACGCACAAAACTGAGAGGAAGCGTAGTTGTTACCGTAGACAGTGAAAGGTTAGTGTCGGTTTCTGATGTGCAATGGGATGGCAGGAATATAGACAGTACTCAGGAACCCAGCAGGTTTCCTGGGGCTAGTTTGTGAACTGTGAAAGTTTTACAACATTCAGTTGCAGTTTTTCTGGCTCAGTAGTTGGATGGTAACCTCTTTCAGTTATCAACTTGCCACCCATTATTTTAGCCAAATTCTCAGAAGGGGGGTGTAAGTGGTAAGAGTTTAGTAGCTGTGTTATTCGAAGTGTATTAGTTTAAAGTAAAATTTAAATGAAAATACAAAAAAAAATGGTATCACGCTATGTCCATACCCCGAAGCCAGAGACAGATCCCAGATGCTTTTAATCTGTGTTTTATTTTACTTAGTTTTATTAAGCATAAATAGTCTCAAAGTAAAAATATATGAATAGGTATTTTTAAAAACTAAAGCCAATTTATTTAATAAACACCTTGGAGTTGTACCTAGATAGACTTCTGTTCCTGATCTTCTTGCCTGTTGCTCTTTTAAATGGGATTGAGGCAGAATCCTATATATAGTTGTTCTTTCAACTCTTAACTTGCTTCCAAAGTGGAATTTCCATCCTCCACGTTTTCTTGACACATCTATGTCTCCTAGAGGTATAGAAGGCGTAATATGAATTTTACAAGATTAGGTCCTCTTTTTTTCTCAGCATACCTGCCACCGGCGAGAAATGAAGTCACTGTTTATAGTGGGGAGGTAGAGCTTTACGCATACAACCACTTGGTTTTACAGTATAGAAGTATGTGAAGATCTTTGTATGTCTTGCTGGTGAACCATTCTGTTTCCTGTGGCATCAGGTGTCCTTTATCTTGCTGCCTATGTTTTGTACCTCCAGTCATTCTCCAAACGAGAATGGAAGACTAAATCAGTCTCGGGAAGGGTCGGTTTGGGTATTTGTCACTGTTGGGGAGAAAGGACACGTTAACATTTTTGATGTCTAGATCTGTGCACCAGCACTTCATAGTTTAACTACAGGATTGGAGAAGCTAAGTTTGGGAAAACTCTGTTACTTCAGGGTTCATTGTGTGGTTTTAACACATCAGTATCAGAAGCTTCTGAAGTTAACCAAGACTGCACAGGAAAGTGAATGCACTGTAATAGAGAATCTCTTAGGTACGTTGGGTGGTCAAGTTAACAAACAGGAAAAAATACTGTTTTATTTGTGCATTTAATTTGACAGCCAAATAGCATTCATCCTTTTTTATTGAATTTCCTTACAAAAAAGATAAAACATACAGTGTGTGTGGTGTTCTATGTCCCAGACCTCAGCTGAAAGTAGTAAAGGAAATACTGAAAGCGGACCCACCACTCTGCTCCAGCTGTTTTTTTCCTGCTGTATGTACACTCTAGGATTCAAAGAAGAAGTGAAAAATTCTAGGTTTCACTTTTAAGCCTGCAGAATGTGCAAAATAAAGTGTATTGACATAGACTAAGGCTAAGATAATAGTTGGTCCTGTGCAGCTCCATTTTTAGGATTGATAAGTGTGTTACTCTAGGATGCACAGCAGAACTTTGCGAACTGTGGAGGGGAATGCTGATAAAAGTGAATTGTCTGAACTTTATATCTTGATTTTTGCTGTGTTGGGGATACATAGGCTTTGTTCTTAGTGTGATCAATTTATGTATATTAAATTTTACACTGCCTTTTTTAAGAAAATATATTAAGTTATAATCTTTTGTGCTTTGAAAGACTGGTCTCAATAGCATCTTCATATGCTCTTCCAGCTATCTCAACTAGAAATGAATGATTAACATCCCAGTAGGAAAACAAAACAACATAATTCCTTTTTGCAATTTGGTTTAAAGACCCTTTCTAGACAAATGCAGCAGTCCCAAGCAAGGTTTCAAACTACTCCTGTAGAAAGACATACTGCTGGTGTTGAAAGAGGGAATCCTTTCTTCAGCTATTGAAAACTTTGCACCAAGTGCACAGTGGCTTGGGGTTGTTTGTTCCCCAAATCCTCAGTTAAAAACATTTGTTGTGGTTGTCTGGGAAGAAGTTTAATTTCTATTACTAGTCTTGATATCTGAAATACCAAGAAATAGTTGGAAAAAGTTGATACTATATCACTCAGAGTTGTAGCTAATCTGTTTTTGAATGATGCTGGGTAGTGCCTTGGATATTTCTTACAGTGAAGCTTATTTTCCTGATTATTGTGTTTTTATCTTTATTTTTTTCCAGTAGATGTAGTGCCATGAAAAGTAACAGCTTGACAGACTTTGAGACTGAAGCCCATAATAAGCAGAGCAGGTGTAGCACTGGCAGCAGCTCCACTGGGCTGTGACAGGACTGTGTATATGTAGCTGTGCCCCTGTGGGAAATATCAGTGTTACTGTCTCTGTCTTGATTATTGCTTATAAAATAAAAATTGTTCACAAGTATAGGATGCTTCTGGAATGAAAGATACATAGTATTACTTGAGCACTGTGGTCTTGACAGCTGTCACAAGTAGTTCTTACATGTGAAACAAATGATTTTGACTGGTTACCTAAAGCTGAAACCATTTATCCGATTAGTAATAGTTAAATTCATGCACATCTCAGCAGCTTTCTTAACAGCAGACCAAACTGTTCATTTGCTACTGTGCTTTGGTCATCTCTTTTCTGTTAGGGAATAATTTTCTTCCTTTGTTTGCCATCAGTTTGTATATGTTTTGAGATTTGGCTGGAATTAAAACAGTAGCCTGCTGATTTGCCTTAATAATCCTACCCTCATAAAAGACCTGACTAGGAAAAGACAAGGAGACATACTTTCTCAGAAGAGGTTTAAGGTGAGAGTAAGTTATTGGGAGGATCTTCACTTCCTTGAGATACTGTTGTGTTCCTGACTGCTGCGTCGCAGAGAGCTTCAAGTTGTTGCAAACTGTAATGGTTCAGGAACTGCCTTCCCACTCATCTTCAGGGGCAGTTGAGTTTGCACTCATTGTTTTAAAGAGTGCACCACAGGAACATGGAGCAATGACTGCTAAAGAACCAGGTATCTGCGCTGCAGACGGGGTGCCTTTGATGGCCTTTGTGCACAGCTTCAGTATCGGTTCTTCCACGAGCAGGAAGACCACTTTGTAGTCATACCATTTCCACTCCAAGGAAATTCTTATCAAAAAGAACCCTTCCCACACAAAAAATCACCAGTGGAGATGTACCAAGAAATAGTGGTCAGACCTAAAAGCTGTGATTTTTTTCCTGATTCTTTGGTAGGATTCTCATTCCATGCATATTATTGGTGGCAGTGTTACAGAATTATTTTCTGACAGCTGAATCAGTAAATACAATCTGATACCAGCAGGGAAGGCCCTAGTTTGTAATTCCCATAAAATTGCTTGCATGCAGTTTGTTATTCCCATCTTCCAAACTCCACCCTACACGTTTGTTTAACTCACCTGTTGTTACAGCTTAGTTTTTGTAATATGAGCTCTTGAGGAAACACTTTGCCATTAATTCTGTATTTGTAAAATCGCAGCACTTCAGTATTCTGGCTGATTTGGCTTCCAGTCTCTACGGAAATAAGTAATAAGTAATAGCTTTCATTTTAGATCTTTTTGCCTGAATCTTTACTGTGTTTCTATCCCAGTGCAAGGAAAAAACCAAAACAGTTCTTCTGAAGTTTTAATAGAATATTTATTCAAAGACCAACACTGAAAGTAACATATTACTCCAAATAGACAACAGTACAAATGAAAGAGAATAGCAAATCTAAATTCACATTTTTGTGACTCATGTGAAGGTCCAAAGATAGAGACTATGAAAAATAAGAGATCAGTTTTGTTTTAATATGGTTCAACTGGAAAAATCTCACAGGAGTTCTCAAATGTGATGAACTTCTGTAAGGGACAGATTGGTTGTAATTTTCATAGTATCTCCTGATTTTTCTTTAAAAAAGATTATTTGTGATTTTCTTGTGTAGCCAAGGCGCCCTATAGTAGTTTTGAGTAGAAGTTTATTCAGTCATGGACTTGGAATTACACAATTCTTTTTGTACCTGAGCTATCCTGGTTCTCTTCAGAGAGATGTGGAGTTAGAGGCTGCTTACAGTGATTATAGACAGATGAAACAGCTACCGTTGACTTCTTCCACGAGGAACCAAATGCTGCGATTATAACTTGATGCAGAGAGGCAATTTATCTTCACTTGTAATTACAGAGGTGATTTCACATTGGCACTGTATCACCGTATAGGAAATACATTGATTTTCCATGTGGCGTTATATAATTTCATGTTAATTTCTCTTTGCAGTGGTCTTTGAAACTATTAATGTTCATGGACTACTTTTTCAGGTCTCGTATACTTGTTCTGTAGCAGTCTCAGACAATACTAATGAATTCCATTTTATCACACAAAACAAGAAAGTACCTAACTTAGTTTGTAACAGCTGTGAACTACTAGTTGTATGGTCATATTATGATTTTATGACTTTTTATGAGACAAAAACTTATATTTCACAGTGACTACAGCTGACAAACTAATTTGCGGAAGTAGAATAGCCAAGATTTCTCTTTAGAACTACAAAATAAAACATGTTAATATGCATTAACATTTACATTTTTAAAAATCATAGAATCATATAATAAAGTATTTTAATACGCATTCATACAGATAGTGTGGGTGTATGAGAACACATTTGGATTGATTCTTATGTTGTCATCTCCTGTAGACATCTCATTTTTGTTTTCAGTAATTTTAAAATGGGGATAATCTATGTAAATAAGAGCTTTTTTTTAAAAAAAAACCCAAATAATAGAAGACAAGAACGTAGGGTTTAACAGGTATATTCTGCCCCAGTTGTTTTGTAGCTTTTACTGAGTACCCTGACCCATGAAAAAGTTCCTGTTAGGGAACGGTCTCAATTTTCAGCCTTGGCATTCTCCTAATCCCTACATTTTTCATAGTCTGTGAATTTGTGATGCAGATTGAAATTACTGGTATGGTCATAATTGCAATTTTAGCTTTGTCTGTCCAGGGATAGTGCTGCTGGCCTTGATCAATAGCAGGACTTGATTCATAAAAGCAACTCTCCAAGACAACAATGAGCCTCCCTGGTAGTTGCTGACATAATAATACAAGGTAAAACTGATGACATGACGTGTAACAAGATAACTAACTTCCCGAATCTGAAATTATGTAGAAGACAGAAAGTTCCTTTTAATAGCAGAAGATTTTGCATTGTGCTTCCTAGTTCTGGTTCTTTCTTTTAACAATGCTGGTAGAATATTATTGGTTTGCTAATTGGAAGGTCTGTTTAGTAGATTATTCCAACACGTGGTCCAAGTTCCCAAAAGAGAAATTACCACTTTTCTTTTAGGTGCGAAATACACCAGGATTATCTGTTTACTTAACTTCCTTAGATATAATTTTTCAGATTACTTTTTGCGTTATATTATGTCTATTAAAATCTTTGTGTACAAACAAAGCACAGTAAAATGAGGGAATCCAAAATTTAAATATTCTGAAGACAAATTTCAGTGCTAGTTACTACCGATCAGATCTGACAGACACAGAAATTCTCTCTGCCACAAAAAAAGCAGTTGATCTTGAGATAAAAGTCTTGAGTGATTCTTAGAGAAGTGTCACCACTGATTAAAGCAACTGTAATTACATTTATTTCCTTCCTCAAGAAGAATGGAATATGTAAGAAACCAGGCTCTTGATTAATTTCATAATGAAAACACAGTTCTTTTTTCAGATGAAAGATCATTTCTTAAATAGCCAATGTGTGGATTGAATGAAGTTAAAGATGTTTCTTTCTTTCATGGTTTTATAAAATTGTTGTTTACTTTTTTGAAGAATCATCAGTACTAGCTGCAGAGACAAAAGATCCTTTATATGATATAAATGATATTTTGAGTAAGTATTCTTGGTGGATTCTGGCTGTAGAATTTCCCTGCATACAAAGTGATTTTGAAGAGCTGCTTAATCAGACCAATATTTTTCAGCTTTCCATCTTAACTCTTTTGATATATCATAGATAAAATAAATTTTCATCCCAAATACATATTTACCAAAAGTACAAGTGTTTGGGTTTTTTCTGGTGTAGATGGTGATCACGGAATGCAAATGAATTTATTTGAAATAATGTACTAAGTGACAGTTGGTGCCTCACACAGGCCAGTGTTTAAAATCTACTATGGATGTGTAACTTTTGTGTATTAATTGCTAAAAACTTAGAACATAAATTTACATGGGATTGGCCTATAATTCAAAATTACCATTAATTGCAGAGGAGCTTTTCCAGTTAATTTACTGTAAAGCTGGATGAAACCAGTGACAGACTTGTAGCAGAGGAGCTTTTCTACGACATCTGATTTCTCAAGGTATAATAGCTCTTATTGCATCTAATACAGTAGGGGAAACCACACAAACTATTGAGCATACGAGCCCTTCCTCAGGTTTTGAACAATAGCAGCAAACTGTGAACTAGGGGTGCAGTTTCAGAAGACATCTACAGCCACTGCTATGGAATGAGGGAAGTGCTGCTACTGTGTCTTATGCTGTGTGAGCCCTGGCAGTCATTAAACCCCCAAATAAATTAGGTTTAACTAAACCAGCAGGAAACTACTCAAAATAAGTTTTCTGCTGTTCTGGTGTATTACATGGACTTACAGATGAATCCGCAAGCTCCAGAGCTTTCCTTTTTTTGGGTACAACTGGTCCATTAGATCAGCTCTGCTGTTCAGCTAGTGGTAGATTGAGGACAAATTTGGAATAGTTGCTGTGAGTTTAATTTAATTATGGCAATTAAGTAGCTAATCAGAGGAAAAGTGTGATTATCACCTGTAAAACAAAGGGGATATTAGTATGGCCAGAAATTGTGAGATAGTGCTTCATCATGGGCAGATGGAAACTGGATCATTACCATCAGAACACTTAAGGCTTTAACTGGAGTGTCACCATGCAGTAGGGACAGTATCTCCAGTTAAGTCTGTTCTTTTTGATATCTAGAAGAACTGTGAATACTCATTTCCATGTTTGATGTGGTGATCGGGAATTGAGAGATTCATTCTGGCACTAGAAGTCTTGCTAATATGTGTGTCAGAACAGCATAAATAGAACAGTTTGCATTAAGAAAAGAGTTCTTAAATACTTATTTAAGGTAATCTCTGATCTTACTTTCTTGGATACTTACTAGACTGCTGCACTAACAGTGAGTTTGGGTCACATGGACAAGGGTTGCTGGAGCAAGTTTGATGTTCTCTGGTTCTGGACTATTTGGTATGAGCTCTGTGTCTGACTTCTTCCTTGGCAGTGGAGAACCCTCCCCGCTCCCCCACTCAAGCTGTCCTATAACTAGATTTCTCAAGCACCTCTGATATATAAACATTTGCTAAGATCTGCTGAACATTGGACTTTTGGATTTACAATTTCCATCTTTTGGTGTGTGTAGGGAGGGTAATATGTGATAACACTGACAAGCAATGTGCTGACTGAAATTTCCTGTATTTCCTACAAGTGACGACAGCTACTTACCCTGTAATTTTTACTGTATGTTTTCAAAGGCAGTGTCTTGGGTCCCATGAATCCAAGGTAGTATTCATAAAAATACATATAATTTAGAACTTCAGCTTTTTCTGATGAAAACTACTGTAACTTAAGCTTCAGTTTATCCATTTGACTTCATGCCAGTGTTGAGCATGAAATAGAGGAAAGCCTAACCAAAACTACTTCTTGTACTTACCATAGTTAAGTTACCGTAGACTGTTCTAATATAGCTAAAGATATGTAGCTAAAGATGTTTAGGCTGTATTCCTGCTCTAGAGTAAAGACAGTGGAGCAGATCTTTGCAGCATGCCAGTTTGAAGTACCTTAGTTAGGAGATCCGTGCAGGAGTGAACTGCATTGCAATTACCTACATCAGACATTACTGGGCTTAATGACTAAGAGTGTTCTTCAAAGTTGTTTTCCTATAAGCAAATAGATGCTAAATATTTTCATTGGGGGGGCCTGGAGTTGCTGTCTATGTCGACATATGTTGCAGTCTTTTGGTTTTTGGGTCTTGTGCTTTTCTCTGCAACACTTCTGAGTTAGCAAGTTTCTAACTCAGAAACTATCTCTTTTTTTTTTTTCCCATGTTCTTGCTTATCTCAGAAACACAAGGAACTGATCGAAACTCCAGGTAGAAGATAAATTTTGGAATAAGAAGAAACTTGTGTACACTGAAAAGAAATCACAGAAGGATTGTTGAGAAGAGTCTAGAGTACAAGTTCCGGTATGAAATTCTAAATATTTTCCTTGGAATTCAGGTCACTGTCTGCTCTGGAAGACAAGACTCACTTAACATAGAGTATAGCATGTAAAATAGTCCCACTGTGTCTGTGCTGACCAGGCAATGATTACTTCTTACTGGAAAAACTAAGTTTAAATGGGTTCAAACTAACATAGCTCCTACTCTGTTGTACGTGGTATGCACTAAAATATATTTCATGCTTTAACCAAATATGTGTCTTATATGTAAGATAACTTTTTATTGTATGAAAACTAGCCATAAAGTAAGGTCAGCTTTCTAATGCCTGCTTTTTTGCCACTGTTAAAAATGTTTTGAGTATGGTTTTTTTTCTTTCCTAAGATGCAGGAAGGAAAACCATTTGTAAATACTATTGAGATGCATTCTTCAATCTCCACAATATAAAATCAAAAGGCAATTCATTTTCTTAACACTGAAGAGGTTGAAATATTACACACATTTCAATAACATTTTATCAGTATTCACCTAGAGAGTACCTTGGTCTACTTCTGACTTTGTATTTCCACTGAAAACACTTGCAAACATTCCTGCTAATTTAAGGGCCCACAGTTTGAATCCTGTGCAGGTATTCTAAACTTAACCCTGTGAATTTGCACAAAGCCAGAGAAAAGGTCTTTCATTGAAAATCAGATAGGTAAATTAGAAAACGTTAAATGCTTTTTTGTCACTCCTGTAGCACTAAAATTGTGGGGGTTGTATTTTTGGTTTGGTTTTTTTTTTTTACTGTTAAGTATTTCCAGAATTATGTTATGTAGAAACTCGTCAGGCCAAAACCAGGTATAGTTGCATTACAAGCTGACTGACTGGAATCAGTCACCTAATCCTAGGGAAATGGCTTGATTATTTTTAATCTTATGTGGATGGACTAACTGGTACAATTTTAAAAGCTTTCTCTTCTTAAGGACAAGACAGAAGATGGGAAGGTCTCCATGCATGTTTTCTAGTCCCTCGTCCTATGTGTTGTTCTATAAAACCACCTGAAATTCAAGCTATGATCTCACTGCTAAGTGCCAACTTCAGTTTGTGTAAAGTGCTGCTGCTAGAAGTTAGTTCTATGTTCAGGGTGACCATAAGAAAGGAGAGAGAGCAGGGAGAGGAGAAACTCATTATAAAATTAGTTTAGCAAGATGACACAAAACCTTGAATAAGGACCAGTGCATCAGTAGAAATTAAATGGAGATATAATGGGGCAATTTTCTTAAAGTAATATAATCATGATTTTCCTACAGTAGACACTTGATTCAAATGTTAGGCTAGAGTCAGCTTAATTGTGAATCAAAAAAGCATCACAAAGGAGATGGAAGCCAAAGAATGCATATGGGGGGGCTAGGCATTCATATCCTACGAACTCTTCTCTCACTTAAAACTGCAGAAATAAGTCTGCAGTGTTTAATTGTTTCTCAGGGAAACAGCAGAAAAAAACCACAGAACAAATGGGAGCAATACTAAAATTGATATATTCCATATAAATGTAATTAAGCTCCCTGATATTAGGTGAATTCAAATAGAAATCTCATACACTTCTATGGGCATATTCTAGATCTAAGATCTGAGATAATAAAATAGAAGAATAGGATAAATAGCAAAAGAGAAATCACTATGTAGAAACTATTTGTAGGTTCTATTTACAGAGTGCCTTATTCTTCCATCACAAAGCACAGACTTCTAAAGGAGTTTTGAAGGGTCATGGTATAATCAGTTGCCAGTGTCAAGAGGAGACAAAAGAATGAAGGTAGTCTTAGATGAATGGGCAAGGGGAATATCAAGCAGTTGTTGAATTACATTTATTCAGTGGTTGTTAATGCTGTGATCACCACTCATACTGAACTTGATTCTGGCAATTGCACTTCAAGAAGGATGCAGAAAACTTGAAAAGGGTATATAGAAGCCCTAAAAGAATGATATAGCGCTTGGGACACATGCTTTATCATGAAAGACTGGGGGCACAGCTTAGTAAAAGTAAAGCTAAGGTGGCACTTCCAGACAGTAGTCAAGCCATCTCTTAATATTTTCTCTGGTAAACTACATGGAAACATTTGAGATAAAGTAAGTGATATTCAAAACCGGATTATTCAGTCTTGCTGATTAAAAGAAAACCAAATTACTGTAGCTTAGCAAATGAGGTAATAAAAAACAGACTACTTCAGATTACTATTAAGGATTTATATTTTTTTTAATAGTTGGAACTACTGATAGTTGTAGATTACTCAGCACTAGAAAATTAAGAAGGATGATTTAGTCAAAATATTCTGTTGAACTTCATGATAAAATTAATATATGTATATATAAATTGTAAATTATTTTTTTACCTTCCCTTGTGGTGGGTAGTATTGAAAAAGTATGTGGAAAATAAAGCAATAGTTATCCCTGTAGCTCTGTAGAAGCCCTTGGATATAAGAGAGAGCTATGTACTGTATTTTCATAACATGCTGGTCTCAAAGTAGGTTAGACATCTGCTTGGCCATTTAGTTTTCTGTAAAAATACTGTTCCCTATTTGTTCTGTATTAAACCCTTCTCCATTTATATTTTTATGTTATTTAAAAATAAATTTAGAAAAGATGTGTTGTTTTAACAATTAATAAAAACAAACTAGCTAAGGTGCAGAATGGTCTAAGATCAGCATTTCAGAAGAGTTCTTTCAGAAAGAAGAAAGTCAGATTTGAGTGAATGTCTCATATTTATTTTTCAAATAATAATGTTAGAGAAAATAAATACTGTGTGGAACTGTATGCTCAGCTTCCCCAAAGTAACACAAGGGTGTTTGTTGTTTAAATAGAACTAACAGATACTTAGGAATCTTAAGAAGCCAGGATTCCTATCTTTCAGGCTTCTCTTTATTGTGGCAGATTTTTTTCATACCACTGATAGAAAATAAATATTTTGTTATGATTGATAAACATACTTGTTAATAACTACATGCTTTAAGCCATTTTTGTACTGTATTTCAGTGGTGTGCAAGACAGAGCTTTGCTTTAGATGTACAATAATCTTTAAGTCCCTTTAGGAGATTCTCAGTTTGCTCTAAGAAGTAGATTATACTAGTTCTGCAGTTCTTCATTATTCATAGTATTTTTTATATGTGACAGTGAGGCAGTGTTTATTTTAAGAGTCCAAAGCCACAGGTTCAAATCCCCTTAAAGACAATAGGGAAAATTGCTTGCAATGACTTCTGACTTATATAGCCTGAACGTTTTGATTTCTATTTTACCCATAAAATTTATATATGAAAATCTACTGCTAGGTGAGGTTTTTATTTTTTGTGTAATACGGCATTTTAGTACTCAGTGAGAGGACATTAAGAATATTCAGTAATACAAACGGTACCTTACTGTGAATGCAGTAAAAGTAACAAGTATCAGTGAAATGACACCCAAAATTACTAGCATTTGTATCTAGTATATTCCCAGTCTAAAAAAATATTCAATAACTTGATATAAATAACTGTTTGTTATGAGATCATGCCGTTAATCTCTGTGGCTCCTTACGATGTATTTATTGCCATATAAATGAAACATCTTCCAGCAGTGCAGTAAACAATGTGCCTAATATCTGTAACTTGCTTTTCATATGCATACTCTCCCCAGGGAAAGAAGCATGTGCAGTACATAGCCATGTTTTGGTAGAATTTTTGGGTTTATTTTGGGGCAAGTGTATTGAAAGCATTTGTGTTGACAACATATAATCAATATATAGTTTTACACAAAATTATTCTGTTTATGCTGATTGACCCGTAGGCAAACTAGAGACTGAGTTGGATATTGCCTGGGTAAATACTTCATCTGACACCCAGCCCACTCCTGCATTCTTTCCATCACTCAGAGATGTTGGTCATGTCATACAATGCGCATCTGCATCTGGCCATGGAGAAATGGGACAGCATACACCTGATTGTAAAACAAGTACAGGCTTAGTCATGTCACAAGTGTGCATAAACCCTCAATACCTGCTCATACATTTCTGGACAGCACAACAGAAAGGTGGGAAATTACTAATTTTGTTGGTTATGTTATTTCTGTGAGTTAAGCCCAGTAGGCAGTTAAGCACCATGAGCTGCTCACTCACTCACCCCTAATCCCCTATGGAATGAGGGAAGAGTAAAAGTAAGAAAACTTGGGGGTTGAGATTAAAAAAAAGTTCAAAAGTTTATAAAGCAAAGGATAAATGAAAGATGAGAGAAAGAAAAAGAAACAAAGTAAGTGAGGCAAAGGCAATCACTTTCCACCTCCCAAAGGCAGACTGATGCACAGCCAGTTGCCAAGCAAAAGGTAGCTAACTCCCCTAAACCCCCTTTTCTCCCTTATTATGGCTGACTTTGGTGTTCTATGGCATGGAGTCTCTCTTTGATTAGTTCAGATTAGTCTCTTTGGTTGTGTCCTCTCCCAGCCTATTGCACACCCCCCAATCTTCATTGTGGTGGGTAGTAAGAATGAGAGAAGGCCTTGATCCTGTGCAAACACTGCTCAACAATATCTAGAACATCAGTGTGCTATCAGCATTGTTTGGGTCAGATACCTACAAGATAGCACATTGTGAGCTGCTGTGAAGAAAGATAACTCTGTCCTAGCCAGGCCCAATACAGTTATTTAGCAAATGCTTGGAAGCATTTGAGACTTAAGCTATAAAAAGCTATAGAGAGAATCTGAATAACAAAGTATTTTTCAGGAAGAAAGAATACAGTATTTATTTTGTAGATAACCTTGGTGCTTTTGCATACATTTCATGGGTCTCATGGTGGGGGAGATGATAAGTATTTCTAAGACTGGGAAGGAAATCCACACACAAATGATATTCAAGGTACATATTTGTGTGTGTCCCTGAAGTTACTCAAGACTTGAAAGAATTGAAAAATAAGAATTTATGTTTTTCTTGGACACAAATTTGTACTTAGGTCTATTTCATTCCTTTTACTGCAGAAAACAGACTACTTATACAGTTGTGTGCATTACATAATGCTCAACTTTCT